GATGCTACTAAACATAGTAGCAATATTGTAATCAGCTAATCAAAATCTCTACATTTGACTTTTCAATTTCTTGATGTTTCTGGCTAAACTTGAAGTGAACGCTGGTTGGATAAAATGCTTCTTAGCGTTTCTTGAGCCTTTCTTGTCTTTTGCGAGAAGTTTTCTAAATCACCCCATCAATGAGGTTGATGTCCAACCCAGGGTTCAAAATAACATAAAAGTAACCTATTTCTTTTAATCTACCATATAAGAAATGGGTCTCTAAAACAACTTATACTGCCAAAATTATGTCAGTTACGATTCATTAGTTTCCTCTAGACTGGAATAGAAGCATTTTTTTAATACGAATGAATTCGTTCTGTTCACAGTTCATTATGTTCGAAACGCGGAATTATCAAATCCAAACAAATTATCGATACACTTCAACCAGGTAACTTCAAAGCAAAATAACTGAGAAAATCCAAGACAAAAGAAAGACGAAACTCTTATCTGGAGTGATAATTAAAGCATATATATAGATAGCTTTTTGTGTAGGATTGTAGTTTATCTACTTACGCTTCATATGTTACAGACTTCATATTTCTATTCAGTTAGCTGGGGCTTTTACCAAATCACTGACTATCTGCTAACTCCTTACAACTGAAAACAATAAACGTGTATTAATGTCAGTGAGATCCTGCATTTTTACTAGTATTATTGATGGCACAAGGATTAATGGAACCTATCATTTACTATCAATTCTCAAATGCTTAGTATTTCGATTATAAGACGACTTTTAGGGTGTAAGTAATCATCATTTTCTTTGATGAGGCTGTTAAAGTTATAGCCATTTTATGATTTGACCTCAACTATTCTATGATTTGTCTATTTAAACGATGTATTTCTGATTGGTTATAGCTTTCATTTAAAAAGTAGTGAAGGATGAACTTTTTGTTTTTATCTATTTCGACCTTACGGGTTGCGATTCAAGGAAGAATGTTAAGATTTATTCTAATTTTATCAATGATTCTATATCATTCTCTTACTGTGGCAACAGAATTTGATAAATGTGTACAAATGTTGATTGATCTTCCCAAATGTATGATGGAAAAATTCCGAGATCGTAAGTTCGTTTATAAAATAATTCATTCAACAAGGTATATTCTCTACCTTTGTTTTTTCAAGATCTTAATAACTGAGTATACTAAAAATACTAATTGTACACTTTGAACCTTAGAATTAAGTTTAAGCGCGTAATCTACGAATTGAAACCAAGAAAGCTATCGCAAAGATAAAGTTATTTTGACCAGTTCGAAGTCTTTGTCAATTTTTTGTTCTGTGCAGTGTAACCTTTCAGGGAGTATCCCTTGGTTACCATTTATTTCCCCTTGTTGAGTTATGAAGAATGAAGAATAATTGGATATACTAAAGATTTACCTTGATAAATTATTACTTATGGCAAGTTGTTGTTAATACAATCTACAATTATTTTTTCGTTTGGTTATTTACTTTCCACACAGCTATTTATCTGTATGAACCCGTAGGTAACTAGAAATGTAAATCAGTTTATTGTAGAAGATTTCCCTAGACTGGTTATAAAAACGGAAATATGTAGAAACTGTCATACCAACCAAAAATAGGGTATATATATACTTATCATTTTGTAAATATCTCCATAACTAGTGGACTTACGTTTTATATGTATAGAAAAACTGATCACTTCAAGATAAAGACGTGATTCGGTACACCTAGCTTTCACTACTCATGTGTACAATCTAACTATATGATCAGTAACTCTGATAAACTAAATGTCAGACTCGGTAGAGATAATTTTTAGTTTTAGTTTTTTGCAACTTATTTACATTATTTTAACTTGGATTTCAATGTCATTCTTACCCAAGAAACAAAAGATATCGAAAATAAACTAAAGGAATGCAAAGAAGATGCAGAATGTAAAATGCAGTATATTATTTGTGTACAATCAAAACTAGCTTTATGTGATGACGAAGTTATCAAAAAGCAAGTTCAAGAACAATTGAAATCATTCTTGCAGTAAACTTGGTTCATACATATATTATGAGACTGATGTCAATAGAACAGACGATCTGGTTAAGTAATTTCTGTTATATTTTACCGATAATATTTTTTTCCTTGCACATTCCCTGCATACTTGTCATACATAGACTTCACACAACTATGAGATCACGTCATCTCTTTCAAGTAGAATTTTGTGCTTTATATTTAAATTAATAAATATCTTATCAATATAGTTTAAAAGGCTATTTCAAGCAACAGAGTTGTATTATAGATTCTCAATATTTCTCAAACGAAACAGTGTTTTCAGTGGATAACTACTAAAATTAGGTCATATATTTAGTATAATGTGGAAATGGTTGATGACCTCCAGTTGTATTGAAATTACCTTTAGTGCGTACAACAACAGAAATAACGAGAAACCCAAGGCATCCTGAAAATGATTAACATTATTTACAGACGCTTGATGCAATAACTACTAGAGTAAAGAATACTGATACTGGGAAATCAGTTTATATCGATCAAAGGAACTTCACCAGAAAAAGATAAGCCTTAAACCCTGAGTGCTTATTACTAACCAATGTTATAAGAAAATAGTGGATGGTAGTATCAAAAATTTCCTGTAAGAAATGACATCAAGAACGGAGAAATCAGATTAGTGATGTCATTAAAGTAACCAGACAAAAATATTCTCTATACATAAAGGCTTATCTACCACGTTAGATGCGGTAATACAGGAAAGGGTTGTGCCAGTCTTTTCGGTAATTGATAAAACAAATTTTCGAAAAACGATTAAGCAAGAGGTGCTATTAGAAGATGTGTTAATACAAACAAAACTAGTATACATAAACAGTCATTTCTCCAAGAAAGAAAAAACCAATTAAAACAACACTCATAAAAACCCAATCGTCAAAATACGAAAAATATTCCTGTGAGCCAGTAAATATAATTCTGCACTAAGGAAAGAAATATGTAAATTCAGATTGCTTCAAACATGAGCGATAAATTAGAAAATGAGAATCATATAAAAAAGCAAGGATTTCGCATAAAATTACCGGTTATTAACTGTGAACCCTCCTAAAAAAGGAGTGTTCCAGTTTCAGTTGTAAATTACAGAAATCAGTTCATTTAGCAACAATCGAATGATTATTATTTGATATGGTAATCGCTCAAACGAATTGTTTAGTAAAGCAGAGATGAAGTAACTGTTAAAGGACTCCACAAACCTAAGAAGTTTGTTAATTTCAGAATCCGTAAAAGTTATTATAACATAATAATCAAAAACGGATCAAAAATATGGACGTAATTTATTAAGAGACAGAAGGATTGCTTGCAGAAGTAAACATAGAAACTTCGGTATTCGGGTGGATGGATAAGAGATTTTCATATACATATGTACACAGAAATACTTTCTGTCTACTCAACTCCTAATTGTGTTTAGTTCAGGTTCCCTGTCAACTGTTATATGAAGTGATATCTCTAATAGTCTCTTGGACGGTTATCAACACTTGTCTTGTGTTACTTACCAGCGTTAATATAACATCCATTCTACACCTGTAATAAATCTTTAGACCAAATAATTGTGTGATATTTTGTTATGAACGTCATGAATGAAAGAATGTATTCGTTAAGTGGAAAGTTCTGAGGCGAAAAATTCACGTGCGTAACCCATGTATAATGCAGTTAAATCAGCAAAACATACGAGATCCGTAGACTTGTAGCGTGGCGTCGAGTCGAGATTGACTATGAACACCGCTACCGAGAAATACGTGCCAAATAAATCCATAAAATCCCCCGGAAGCCAAATATCAGAAGGCAGTTAATGGACCAAGTCGAGATATATTTGCTGGCGATCTCGTGGTATCGAAAGAATACCGAGATCGTGCCAGGATACAAGCTTGGTTACAGAGCGTAACCGAATTCGCGCGAGGTCACAATCAAAGTGTAAGAATAGTGGATGCACAGTTAAACAAAAGCACATTAAAAAAGCGCTGGAACAGCTGGTTGTAATAATAATTGTTTTCATTAAACCAGTCGTGTTCTCGCGATACAAGTAAGTCACTACAGAATTACTTTGTTGCCTTCCACAATACTTCATCCTTTAATATATGGATTATTCAACACTCAAAATAAATTTCACTTTCCTGTTTAAGCCACCCTGAATTATGGGACTTCAAGGTCAAAACTTCAAAATCGCACGTTCATAAAATCTACACTAAAATTATTCGACTAGCACAAGTTGAATGTTAGGATGAATAAACTATATCATGTACTACCACAGGTGAATACCGTAGATATGTATCCATTGACATGATTACTATGATTATTGTTGAACAGAAAATTCTTAATACTTTCTTTATATAAGGAAAAACAGCCGTGAGCATTCGTTTGTCTAAAGTTTGATGGAATCCTGAAAAAATTTCTGCAAACCTCACCGTAGTTTATTTGATTGCCAGCTTCAGGAAATTATGAAATATATCTAAAGTATTTTCAACCCCACGTTCATTTTTTGTTTAACGTTTTAAACCCCCAAGCTTAATACTGAAGGTTTTATTGTCAAGAAAAAAACGAGATCTGAAACAAAATGTGAAGAAACTGTAAACGTAATACAAACTCCCAATTACAGCACACAGGAATTGCTGGCCGATTAGACTTAAAATCATATTTCTCCTGATTGTTCTGAAGCGTTCCGTAGTAAAATAATTATGGCCTCAGAAAGATAACGGGAAATTTGGATTTCACAAACGAACCAGTTTGTGGAATAAAAGCCGGTGAACTTCGGAATTAACTATGAAGCTATCAGATTTGAAAAATTAAAAATAACATAGAAAAACAAAGTGTACATGGTTCAATACCATTTATTGTAGACATTCTTATTAACAGATTAAAGACCTGAATTCGAACTGAAACAGCATATAGCGGGCACGAAGAATTCAGACGGTACATATTAGTTCAACAGGATATTGTTTATTGAAACTTGTGTGTTTGCTGATTTGGCGGCATAAATGAGTCAAGGTCGGGGCTTGAAAGGTAAGCTTTATTGGGTAGTTGGGTCCTCTTATTACTCAAAATGATACTTAAGAATTCATGGGAGGGGTCATTTTGCAGAACTCTGTGAGTAAGTGGCTTCGGAGGCTATGAATGTATACATGAAATAGCGCTCCATCACTCATCGATGTTTACTAATCAGCGATCAAAAAAGTTTGATTTTCTGAAGGCAACAAAATAACATTATTGTTTATGAAGGTAAATTTCGGCGATGGTTAGTTGATTTTGGGAATTTAGTGACCCTCTATCTGACTCCCATTTGCTTGTATGCTGATCGTCATCGAAATATATGTATCGCCTTTACTCTTATATAATTATGGACTCAGTCCACCTTAATGAACATGGAAAAATGCAAGAATGGACCATAAATATTTATGTTCCATCAACTTATTGATTTGAACAGACAATCGGGGTAATAATGTGAAGAAAGCAAATAGGAATGAGCAAATTGGATCGGAATGACTGATAATAGAAAAGGCGAGTGAGCCAACTTGCTTAGGCTAAATGGTTGTTCAAAATTGGTGCGAGGAAGTAAGATTTGAATTCACGATTGGACGTTGTGGTTAGAATTTGTCATAAAGGTTCTCATCGTCGACTGATATCATTTATGATGTCGAAATGCTAATTAGCTTTATAGGTGAATAAATTTCGCCCTGTTATGCTCCCTCACTAAACTCAGGACATCAAGAGGATTACAGGCTAATATCTGCATATTCTATAATCTGAAATAATGTTTTTCTGATTGTTCTCTTTTTCGACGTTCAAAAGCATAAGAAATAAGTATTATTTGGGATAAATGACGCTTTAGTACATGAGTGTATCATTTGCTCCTTTAAATAAGAGCTTTAGATTTTGTAATACTTCCAAAATACTGTATTACCAAACTGCTTCTCCAACTCACCCACTCTCCTTTCCGGTCGAAGTTGCTCATAAACTTTAATGTTTTCTATATTATAGTCGCTTAACAATTTATTACCATGTATCTGTTTATGTACTTATATTGTCCTTCATTTGTCTCTCTGCTGAAGATGCGCGCAGTGTTAATCAAAACCTTTTCACACACATCAGTTCTCGAATTATGGTTTCAGAATGTTTATCAGTTAGTTAAAGGAGAATTTTCACTATTTTTCACCCCGTGTACTTATAACCCTGCCGTCAAGCATTTGTGGTGTAAGACAAGCTATAATTTGTGGTCGCTCTAGATTCTGATACCAACTAGTATAACAAAATAAGTATAATTTGTTCTGAAGAAAGTAACTTATATAGGATATCATCACTTTAGTTCATTCTATTTTTTGAATACTTCTAACTAAGTTGTCCTTGTTGATTAATCTTTAGTGTTGAAAAGATTCGAGAAATTTATATTGTACCCGAATTTTCAAATACAAGTGCAAGCCAGTTTATAAGATTATGGGCTTGCTTCAAAATAGTCTTATCAGATGCTGTAAATACAAAACTACTGTGTAAGATAAAATGGTGATTCAGTCATGCTCAACGTGGAAGCTGAAAAATTACACAGATTCAAGTTGCTACATCTCATTAACTCAGCAAAATGAAACTCAAAATAAATTCTAGAGTAGTACAGTTAGTAACATCGTTAGTAGTGGTACAAGACATTAGGCATCGAAGGTGCGATTCTAGAATAAAATATAGAGTAGTGGAATAAAAACTTTTTGTTTGGTAGTTTGAAAAATACAGATCTTAGGAAAGACAAATCGGATACTGCTGCGCGATTGTGAACAGTTCTGAGCCATGTCACCTATAGTCTTGATCCATGGATTACGAAAATCGCGCGTATTCCAACTGGGTAGCTTACATTTGCTTGTATAGCTCAGTCCAACAGTCAGTGTCTTTACGGACTGGTATAATTTTTTGGTTTGGCGGCCCCTTGTTCTCTCGCAGCCTTTTCCTACAATCCATAATTTCCTGTCGAGGTAATCAACGGAAGGGCATACCCAATACATGTCTTAAGTATCTGCTTGTTGAGGTGGAACACTTTAAGTCCCACCCAAGTATTTTTCACTGGTTTTAACTATGTACTTGAGTGTTAAAGCCTCCTGCCACAATTAAGTCTAGGCGTTCGGTATTTGCAGGAGATCGAAAAGCTTTATGTAAAGCATTCTCTATTTCGTCCGAACTTCAGTGAAAGCATAAGAATAGATGATGAAGAGCCAAAGGCGTGTTTCCTTATCTTTTCTTGTTCTTACTTCCCCATATAGTCTGGCAACGCACAAGTCGCTGTTTTAGGAAATCCAGTTTAGAAGGCCTTATTCTCCTTTATAACTTAGTACTGTACATACACCGGGAAACCCAAGAGAAGCCACAGTCAAGTCCTCAGATGCACAGAGGGCAAACAGTGTGGTTCCTCTTATTTACTAATGAGGTTAAGTGAATGACCACTCTTGAATTGTATGTGTATTTTGGAGACACAGTATATATCAATGGCACTAACTTCTAGAATCCTAGCTAAGGAAGATTGTTAGTCTGTTTGAAATAAAGTCCTGACATTTTGTTTAGGTCGCGGTCTTGAGAGACTCAAACAGCGTCTGTGACTTATGAAGATAAATTCATAGAAGAGTTGACAGTGGTGATAGAAAGAAGTGACGAAGAGCTTTGATCGAAAAGATCTCTAATGGCGGTTGTCTCCGTGTTTCAAAAGACCTTACCACCGGAGACGGAAATCCGTGGGGTAAGGTGGGGTGTGGCATTTTTAGGGCTCATCTTTCCCAACTCACTCTCCCCCATGTGACAAAGCTGCATCGCTGCAGATGCTGGATGTCTGAGGGGAACACAGTGCTGTGATATCTTTGTACAATCAGCAGTGCAACTTCGTCCTTGGACCGCAAGTTGTCGCTTTTATTCTTACTGTTTCCTAACCGACCTACCTGGTATTGTAGGGCTTAAAGGAACAAGTTACAGTCAATATAACTTGATGAGCATTTTGTGATAGACAAACCATCACGTCTGGTGATTATTAAATCACGCTTATTTTAGATAAATACTAATATGGCCGTACCGAATGTATTCCATCATTCTACCAGGTACTTGGTTATCAGCCATCAAATAATGGGTTCAGTCTCTCTACATATATTTTAGTTTTTGACGGAGTTTTGTTCTTTGAGCTGGATGGTTTTGTCGTGGAGCTTTCAGATGGATCAGAGAACAAAACTCCATCAAAACCATCCACCTGAGCTATAAATCTTCCCCACCATCTCAATATATTTTATTTTCCATTATCTTGTAATAACTTCAATCCTTTTGAAGTAATATAGTAATAATATCTGTAATGCCCAGTCAGTATTTGGTAGCTCTTCTTTTTGTCGTTTAGACCAGTATGGAGTGCCTGAGTTCAGAATCGAGCGCAGTTTGTGACAATCAAGCTACCAATAACATCAGAAATTCCAAACCTAAAAGCGATGCATCTAAGAAAAAGAAAACATCCAAAAAGTCTCATCACCATTGCAGTCACAAACAAAACAATAATGATTGCTGCAAAACTGCTTGTAAACCCGACGTTCTACGAAATCTTTCAACCGTAATTCAAAACTGGAAGTTGGGTGATAAAGCTCCATGCCACAAAACAGCAAATATTGAAAGCACTTTTAAAAACATTGAGAAACGAATCATTCATGGAAGTGTTGAGAAAGTTTCACCTGATTGTCAGGCTCCTGGAGGTGGACTAGCTTACCCTAAAGAGACCAAGTTTATTTTTCATTACCAAATTCGTAAACTGGATGAAGACCGTACCGTGATTGATGATACCCGTAGGTATGGAAAAACGATGGAGGTGTACTCGGGAAAAGAATTCCAACTGGAGGTAAGAAGAGCACGATTTAGTTATTGGTAATGACGAAGAATAGTCTTGTTTTTTTCAAGTTAGTTCATCAAGAATGTCCATTTGTATTCGTCATATGAAAGCGAAACATTACAAGTCTTTTCCAACTTAAATGAGATATATTTTCATGTTTAGTCCAAAGTAGAATTATAGCTGCATATAACTGACTGTTAGGCATATCTGATAGGTATCTTTTAATCCTTCATAATAAGCTAGCAATAACTACCCGTTTTACTGAGTTTTTCAGAATCTGTTATAGTTAGTCATAGATAATCTGATTATATAAGCAGAAATAAAACTTAGTTATCCTCTTAACCAATTATAGGTTCAATTGCTTCGTCTATTATTTTCATTTTCCACTCATATTTCCACATTTTCTTATTACTTTATAAGGTCGCTAAAATCAATAATTTACAGTTAACTTTTCTTTTCGTTATATATTCTCACCAAGTTAGTGTTTTTTTATTTACCTCCCCATTTTTGACTGCAATCCGTAATCTTTGTTTTCTGTACTTGTTTCACTCACTTACATGTTTTCTGTAGGTTACAGTTTCCTTTCCAATGCATTTAAAGTATAATTATATGGTTATTGCTTACGAGGAAATTCGTTGTAATACTAACATGTTTGAAGCAGAAAAGAGGCTACAATACGATACAAATTTATTCTTGCTTTATTTACTATCACTATCAAGGCAACTAAATAAACGTTTATCTTCCTGGTTTTCAATCTAATAAAGATAATTTTCTACTTCAAATTTGTTGATCCTTGGCTCATATCTCACTTTACCTACTTAGGTTTGGGAAATCTTGTTAAACTACTCCTTAACTTAAAGATCTATCGCATCCGGAAATTCGTGCGTCATGTACTATACATAAGTGAGTTTGAGGGGATCTTTCAATCCTCAGAATGTTCATACTACCCTTAGAACTTCATACTGTTATTGAGCGGGGCTCTATAATTTGATGAGTGACGACCGTGATAAACTCTCAAGATGTTGGGGAGAATCCAATTCGATAGATAATGCTTAGTTTCAGGATTTGCCCGACTGATCGCTTCTCACGGGACTGAGTTATTGATGCAAACCCTAAATAAATTGATATACAAGGCTAGCACAATTACTGACAAATACGTTCCACGTGTAGTAAAATAGCGTCCCTGTGCAAAGAATACTAGACATCAAATTGAACGTTATTAAATGTCATTTAAGAAGTAAGCCATCGGTAGATAAAAGTTTTACTGAATGACCCACTTTCCAACAGAACTATGACACCTGGCTATCAACCTTAGTTTTTGCTCTCCATATTACGAGTTGATGTGTGAGGTAGCGAATTTTGAAAGGAGGTGGATCGATAACTTAATTCCCTATCATTCCACTGATAGATCTATCGCAAAGTTGTTATGAACTGACTTCAACTATATTTTTGTAACCTTGACTCACTTCAGCTCTTAAGATTACTCAAGAGGTGCACTTCTCTATATTTCAATGTCCCTTTTTAGTTTTGGGAACAATGTTTAGGAACTATGTTGCCTGGTGAAGTTTCATCATTTGTTGTACCACCTGAAAAATTGGCTTCATTTCCAGCTGTAAATAAAAAACTGCGTGATTACATGTTAAATAAAAAAGATCATTCTGCAAAACACTGTTGTGGATTAATGAGCTTACAAGAGCAAGGTGGTTTGGGCTATCCAGATCTGGACGAGTTGATGATGAAACCTGAAGCACTTGAATTTATTTTTGATTTAGTTAAGTAAGTTTATCCATTTGGTTTTGTTATTTCTTGGTGTTTGGAGAAGAAAATTATTTTGATACGTTTAATTAATCTAAATTATAATGATAAATTTCATACAATATGAACAGTTTGATGATATGTATCGTAAATACTGTCGTTTCACCTACCAGTCATATACATAGTGTTTGCTTTATAAAAACCTGTCAATACCGAGTTAGTATGAGCTGGGTTCTAACTCGATTTTATAACTGAAAGTTGAGAGCTAAAACCACAGATCTATAGTTTATAATCCTCAAAATAATCTAGTTGCGGTGTCTTCAACACAATAATAATAGGGTTTTTTTATTCTCATCAAAATGTTTCCACTTTCATGCAAAAGTAAAATAAAGCTTCCTAGTGCATATTCCTACTCAGGATTCATGTAAAATAAAGCAATATCCAATGCTTAGGTTATCATAAAATAATTCGACTTTATGGTTATTTTGATTAATCATTCTGAAATCAATGACCAGTCACAAATAAAAGCAAAACCTAATGTAATACCTAATCAGAAAGTTTTATTAATATATTCCTACAACAATTATCAATATGTTATTATGTTTTTAAGATTTTTTTGGTTTGGTAACAAATGAATGTTATATATATATATATATATATATATATATATATATATATATATATATATATATATATATATATATATATATATATATATATATATATATATATATATATCAACTTAATTCTCATACGCTTTTCAACCGAGTTTCTGGATGGTATTTAATTCAAAGTCGTTAGTATGTTTTATAGGTGGGAGAATCGAAGAAATTTCCTATTAAATCAATAAGGGCGTCCCACTGGTCGTGAATTTTCAATGCTAATTATTTTTTCATGTTTTAGACCACACCCATGCACTGTACGTGGCTGTAATGTTAAAGTAAGAAGGTTCAAATTTGATAAATAATCTGTAATATGATACTTAGGAAAATAAGTCATATTTAATTAATATGATGTGACTACTAGCAATAGATATAAAATCCCGTCCACAGATTTCGCCCTGACTGACACTTATCTGCGACTACAAAAAAGCAAGTGCTGCAGCACTGGTCCGTACTCATGTCACTCAGTACTACAGTCACAAATGTTACCTCTGAGTTATTCAATTCGAAACCAGTATCCTATTACTATTCATTGATGCTGGTCGAATTCTACAGAACCATGGAATTAAAAAACTTTAATAGTGTGGCGTGGTAAATATGATTTTATGACTTAAATGGTTAACAGTTTCAACTAATATTGCGTCCAATTTGTTTTATATCACAAAATGAATTCAACCAACAACTGGAGTTCGGCCCAGTATAATATTGTTGTCATTGTCTCCTGACATTTATAAGTAATGTTCATTAAAGAAAGGTTTCGATCGATAATTTCATTAGAAATTCACCTGTTCATATATCAGCTTAAGACACTAATAAGTTATTTATCTTATTCAAAAAAAAAATTAAAGCCTGGTACTTAGATTGGCATTTGCTATATCTAAATATCGTTTTTCTTTTATGCTGAATTGTGCAACTTGAATCGAACTGTTGGGAATGTACTCAATAATGAAATCTCGTGACCTTAATGCTCTTTTCACACACATTGAAATTCTTATTATTATATTTACGACCTAAGAATAAAGCATAAACATTCAACTGTAATCGTGATATCACACAAACCTAACTTGTGAGACCAAATCTAAAATATTTGAGAGTTCAATTGCTCATTATTTGATTCTCCCATCAACAAAAGTTGTGAACGTTAACTATTTTCTGTTATATTTCCCCTTCGTTCCACTCTGGATACAAAGAAAACTACTTGAGGTCATAGCTTCCTTGGCTAGAACCCTAGAATCTCGTACCATTGATGTACGCTGTGTCTCTGAAACACGCATACAGGATCCCAGTGTGGTCATTCACTTGACCTCACCTCGGCAAAACGGAGAGCCAACGAGATACATCCTCCGTGTATCTGGTGACCCGACGGCCAGCTCTCGTGGACTGGCAGAAGTAGGGATAGCACTAAGCATGAGGGCCGAACAAGCACTGTTAGAGTGGATCCCCGTTAACAGTCGTTTATGTGCTGTTCAGCTAAACAGCTGCGTAAGAACTCGGAAGGATAGGGACACGCGTCGTTGCCTTTTTATCGTTTCTGCCTACACTCCCACCGACTACAGCTCAGATGAAGTGAAAGATGAATTTTACAGAAAGCTATCTGAACTTCTTCAGAAAGCTCAACGTTCAGACATAGTACTCGTAGCAGGTGACTTTAATGCCCAGATAAGTAGTTTAAACCAAACAGAAAGGCATTTAAGTGGGTGTTCTAGTATTCCGGCACAACGAACAGATGATGGTGATTTTCTGCTGCAATTGTGCTCAGACAATCGTTTATTTTTAGCAAACACAAATTTTAAGCATAAGGAGAGACATCGTCTAACATGGCGACCCCGTACACCAAACTAACGATGGACTCAAATAGACCACACTAAAAAGACCCATAGGAATTGAAATAACTAGTGAGAAAACCAAAAGTAGGTTCCAGGAACAACTGAGGTCACACTTAGGTAGTTCTGAAAACGAGGTTGACACAGATGTTGCTTGGAAAGCTATACAAACAGCAGTGACATCTATCAGTGATTTAAACCACAGGGTTACAAAGAACCAATTCATTTCCTCAAGGTCTATTGCACTGATAGATTCTCGTAAACTCGTCCCATCAGGCTCTGAACACGATGGAGAGCGTAAACAAATCAAATCTAGGTTAACCAAAAGTCTAAGGAACGACCATGAGCAGTGGTGGGCAACGAAAGCAAAAGAGATGGAAAAGGCGGCGACTATAGGGAACACAAGACAGCTCTACAGACTAATAAAAGAAACTGGAATTAATAAGTCAAGTGTAAGTGAGACTATTTCAGAAAAAGACGACACCCTGGTCTGCTCCCAGTCTAGACGTTTAGAACGATGGGCGGAACATTTTAGAGAACAGTTCAGCTGGCCCTCAGCTACTCAACAACTACCCTCCATTCCCAGACAGTGTGAATGGAACATTGAAGTAGGTCCCCCAACTCTTGCTGAAGTTGAAAAGACTATAGTTAATCTGAAACGAGGAAGGGCAGCTGGTCCAGATGGATTGGCTCCAGAGGTCTTTAAGGATGGTGGTCCAATTTTAGCGATTAGGTTGACTAATATTTTAGCTAAGATCTGGGAGTTAGATGTTATTCCATCTGACTGGTCAAAATCACTTATTGTCCCAATATATAAGAAAGGGTTAAAATCATCCTGTGACAACCATAGAGGTATTGGTTTAACTAATATAGTATCTAAAGTACTAGCCTTGATAATTATCAGACGCCTAACTAAGACTCGTGAACTGCAAACACGAGAGAATCAAGCTGGCTTCAGACCTGGTCGTGGTTGTATCGACCAAATATTCACCATCCGTCAGGTTCTAAAACACAGGCATACTTATCGGCGTCCGACAATGGTGGTCTTTCTTGACTTAAAAGCAGCATTTAACTCTGTAGACCGCGAGATTCTGTGGCAGTGTCTGTCATTGAAAGGCGTACCTCAGAAGTACATAACCCTTGTGAAGGCTCTCTACTCGGGCACTACCAGTCGAGTCAGAGCTTATGGTGAACTGTCATCTGCTTTTGCAACCTCAAGTGGTGTCCGTCAAGGCTGTCCACTTTCTCCATTTTTGTTTAACTTCATCATAGACTTATTGATGGAAATAACATTCGCGTCTACTGAATTCTAGGGTATTGATCTCCTTCCAGGAGGTCCACTTGTCGACTTAGAATACGCAGATGACATAGTCCTGTTTGGTGAAGACGCTGATAAAATGCAGAGTCTTCTGGTAGCACTGAGCAACAATGCCAGAATGTTTGGAATGCGCTTCTCTCCCTCTAAATGCAAGTTGTTGCTTCAGGACTGGTCTGCGTCAACACCTGAACTAAGGATAGGGAGTGAAGTAGTCGAACACGTCGACGACTTCACTTAGCTTAGAAGTCAGATCAACCCTAATGGTTGGTGTCTGACGAAATCTCAGCACGGATTTGAAAAGCTCAGTTGGCTTTTGCCAACTTACGTCACCTGTGGCGAAGGCGAGATATCTGTCTATCAATAAAAGGACGAGTATATTGCGCGGTAGTCCGTTCTGTTTTACTTTACGGCAGCGAAACATGGCCTTTAAGAGTAGAAGACACTTGTAAGCTACTAGTATTTGATCACAGATGCCTTAGAAATATTGCTGGCGTCTGTTGGGATCACCGGGTAAGTAATAGTGAGGTTAGAGACAGAGTATTAGGAAATAATGGTAAATCAGTTGATGAGGTTGTGAATCTTCATCGACTGAGATGGTTGGGCCACTTGTTACGTATGCCCGAACACCGATTACCACGACGTGCAATGCTAACCGGTGTTCGGGATGGTTGGAACAAAGTTAGTGGCGGCCAAACCAAAACGTGGCATCAGTGCTTGAAGTCACTAACTTGTAGTCTGAGCCATGTTGGTAGATGCAGACTACTTGGTTGTGGTCCGCGTGACTATCGTAACCAATGGTTGGAGACTCTTGGTGACATGGCTCAGAATCGATCACAATTGCGTAGATGTGTACACTCTCTGTCTTCCCTTAAACCAAGAGATTAAAATCGCTTCATAGATGGCTGTAAAGGAGGAATAGTATGATGAAAAAAACCCCGAAACATTAGGACTATGGTAGAAGAAGAGTTTGTACCAATCTCTTTTGGACACACGATTCTGACTATTCGAGATGTATAGCTATTGCTTCGGCAATGTTCAGAAGATGCAATATAACTACCTTTGGTAGACTTCTTACCTTGTAAATGACTTTGAACTGAGAAGCCGTCTTGATTGAGTGACCTGTGTTCATAAAGTATTCGATTCCTGAACTTTTACTGATCCGTTTCTGCCTCTTTTTAGTCACACTGGGTAATGTTCTTGAATTCTTTAGGATAAAGTACGCATCGAACGACCTATACACCTGGCTCCACACGAGCGGGTAAATTGGTAATTAAACATAGAGATGGTCCGATTAGATCATTTATCCTTAACATTACTGATGAACAATCATAGGCTGGAGAATACTATTCGCAACGTTGCTGCAAAGAACGCTCTTTTTGAAGACTCAGAAATTCTCCTCTTTAGGACGTTTGTAGCTCTGTCACCCTTAAAATCGATGTTCATGTATAGTGTTTTCTTTTCGACTGAGGTTGTTTGTGTTTTAGGCCATCTATGTTTTATGTTCTTGTCAATAAGTATCGAAGGATACCTGTTTTTGATAAGTATTTCCTTCAAGAGCCTCAGTTCATCATCGATGACCTCGAGACTACAAGTCCTCTGTATTCGCGTAGCGAGTGATGTTATGAGGTTCCTTCCCCGACTAATGGGGAGCGAGCTGTGGAAACTTAATAGTTAGCCATTCCACATGGGTTCCCTGTGGATAGATCTTAGAGTTCCGTCTTGTTTTCTTGTCATTTCCACATCAAGAAAGTAAATATTTAGCTTGTTTTAAACTTCAAGTGTGAAATTTATTGCTGGGTGACAGTTATTAAGTGTCTTTAGAGGATGACTCAAATCATATTTGTTGTCACAAATGATAAAGATATCATCTACGTACCTTTTATACAAGTGAAAGTTTTTGATAATCGTTTTAATTCGGTTGTTTACTAGACTGGTCATGAAGCAATCTGCTAGTAATGAACCGTCATTGAATGTAAACTGTACATTGCAAGTGCAACGTAGTAGTTCCTTCAAATAAGCTTCCGGTATTCCGATATTATTCTCATTATTATTTATGTATTTGCAGACAATGTAATTTCTTCGGCAATATTTATCTCATGGAACTTAACTTACACAGTTCAAACCGATGGTTACTGACTCCATACGCTAGTGCTACATCGTCGTCTGACGAAATTTAGCTTATTTAAAAGCTTTTTCTATATCAGTTGGTATACTACACTGACGCAAGTGCTAGCTGTGATGTTGATGTACGTCCCAGTCATTTCAGTCGATGGAAGTTATTAAATTTTACAACTGATATATCAGGTGATTTAGTTTTCTGTTCCATCAACGCTGCTCGCTAGACGGTTTAATCATCGAGATTAATGACTGAATACTTGCAACCTGTGGAATTTTATACTCTTACGTGTTGTGATTCCTATCTGCATTGTAATACTGGGAGAATTGCTGTATATTACACTTATATTTTTGACTAACCTGAAAACCTACATAATCAAATTCCAACTGTAATTTAATGAGTAATATATATTTTTATATGCTATTCTAGAGTTGAAATTCCAGGCACTGGTAGTCGTAAAGAAACATGGATAATGACGCCTGAAGAGAAATTGGAAACTGTACCAGTTTTACGTGAAGAAGGTAATCAGTTGTATAATCGTGGGGAATATAATAAGGCTGCTGCATGTTATAGTGAAGCGTTAGGCATTTTAGAACAATTAGTTTTACGAGAAAAACCAGGAGAACCTGAGTGGCTTGTATTGGACAAGTTACAAATACCACTATTCGTTAATCTTGCACAATGTCAATTTAAAGAAAAAGTAAATAGCTTATTCATATGACCATTTTAAGTGTTTGAATTTTCAATACTATTTTTTAATTATAACAATTTTATCCCAACTTACAACCTTGTTGCTAGAAATCATGTTTTTGACTAGATTTCGAATGGATTAGATGATAGGTTTTTTTAATTAAAATGTTGGGTTTCTGTTCTTAAGGTTGGAAGCTATGGTTAAAACACTATGATTCGCAAATTGATTGACTGATAATTATTTCGTGTTAGAATTTTTGATGCTGTATAATTTTATTACCTTTTGTGATAGATAACTCTCACAAAAACTATATTCTAATTGCTTAACATGAAAGAACATGGTCTTCCCAAATATGCTACCTATTCATTCTATTTTGACATTCGTTCCCCTTGCTATACCTTCGCTTCTATACAACGGTTTCATCTATTTTGACTGTTCTGCACACACCTCTAAGTGATATATTTAAATTGTACCGACAAAGCATGACTTGCTCCAGATAAAGTAACTGCTTGCAAAACATTCAATATCTAATATACAGTTAGTACTATTTGCCTCAATGTTAAGTTTGACTAAAATGAAGGAAGTCTCCGTTCTGCTGATTCATTCCAGCAGTGTTCATTGCATCGAGAAGATTAGCCGTCTTTATAATCAGCTAGTATAGATTAAGCTATGGTGAAAAATTATTTGAAAACAAATATTCATTCACTTTTATCTAGTCCTTTTACTAAATGTCTGAATGAAGTTTTTCACTTTACTAAGAACCGATGGGATCAGTTTGAAAGTAAGATGAGCTTAGATTAACAAATTGTGAGACTAAAATAATGCTAGAAATATAAAACTATAATATTTAGATCAGGTCCTACCGTGTTTGTGTCCCTATCCAATAATCATTTTTTTCGTATCATCTCATTATTTAAAAAAATTCGAGATCTTAAGGACATTATAGATACGTCCGAAAATCGATTTTTAAAAGTTGACGAGCCAGCTACGTTGTAAGCCACATCTTATTATCACAGGTTACATCAACAGAATCCCTCTTGAAATGAAAGAATTATGAATTAGGTTTATCATTCCCATAATTTTGATGGCATCTTGAATGAGATTGGTCTTATGGCCAAATGCTCATCAAATATCGTTCTAAACAGTATCTTAATTGAAGACTTTAGGAAGTCTTGCTTTATATTTGTGGCGTGTCCGCTATTCAAACATGCGACTAACTAATGTTTGAAATTGTGCTGTCGATTCCTGTTGATATTTTCGTTATGCTATATTCCCTCTCCATGATAATTCCTAGGACTATTATGCTGTGATAAAAAATACTACTGAAGCCTTATCACGAGATCCTACAAATGTAAAAGCACTTTATCGCAGGTCTAAGGCGTATATAGAAACTTGGGACTTTGATCTAGCTGCTGAGGATCTACGTAAGCTAGCCATTTGTCGTCCGGAAATGAAGAACACAGTCGAAAATGAACTAAACATTATCGAGGCTAAACGTGTCAACGAAGAAATCAAAGGAAGACAAAAACTAGCTGGGAAACTCTTCGCTTGTCCAAAATCAGTCGCAGAATCAAATATATTATAATGTATCATAATAAATTCAGAAATATTCATGTCAGTATTATATGTACTTTGAGTAAGTAATATTTTGGTCTACTTGTATGACTAATTTATATCCGGATAGTTGTCTTTTTTTCGCTTAACTGTGTTAAGTCTTCAGAATTAATCGTCCTTATTACCCAAGGTATTCTATTTTCTCTAGTTTACTTTCGTGGTTGAGTTTACATAGCTGTAACCGAATTTGTACTCCGTAATTGAACAATATGAGATACACAGTTGAGGATTGGAGTTCAATGAAACCTTGGGTGCGGAAGGACTCAAACAGATGGTCTGTGATATGTGAGTCTGATAAGATCTCACTCCTAACCAAGCATTAAGCGCGTTTCCGGAGTCTATCTTAGGTTTTTATCTAGATGTAAACCTAGGCGAATTGGAGAGAATCAGGAAGTAAATTTAAGTTATTTTGAAAAAACTAATTAATGAAAAAATTCATCGGTCACAAAATATCAGTTTTCTCAAACCTTTGCTCAAATTATCCTAAAATCGTCAATGCTAGTTTCAAACACGTTATCAGTGGATGCCTGAGTCATAAATAGTGCGCTCAACAGTGCTTGATTCCACCACATATTTTTATAAAAAAATCTGGTTCGTAGAGTTTCTTGATTATCGAATGAACCACGCATTTTTATGCAGTTTTACTTACATGAAATTTAACGTAATATTTGTGGTGCGAAAAAGATTAAACTGCCACTTTCTTGGTACAAAACAGATAAATGTCTGTACTTTCTAGTTTTTTTCTAAACAGTGATAACAAACTTATACTTCGAAACCTACGTTATTTGTCTAATACTCCTATATTTTTCGTTTTCATACAATAGATATCTGAAAATGGATTCAAGGTTTGTGCATTTATGATGGAACAGTCGTATTTTTTTTCTGCGTCTATATATTTCCATCTTAAATATCTTGACTGTGATATAACTACTTGCATCAGTAGCTTTTTTTCATTTCATATGTGGATTTTCTTTTGATTGTATGTACCCATTATATTGTAAATACTATGTTGAAAATGAAATGGATTATACTTGTTCATTTGTAGTAATAATGAAACTAGTTATAAGCCCTTGATTGCATTACTAACCTATTTTCATAGGATACAAATGAAGAAATTCAAGTCCACAAAAATCTCTTTAAAAATACTGATAGAAAAAATAATCAGTCATATTGTAAAAACAAAAATAAAGGGATATAATTAATGAGAAATTCGAAAGTAAACTATATAAATTAAGTCTCATTCAACTTTCCTACGCTTTCGACGAAAATCGAAATCAAGGCGATCATCATCATTATTTATCTGTTGTGATCCTGACTTGGAACCAACTCTACGATTATTTCCTCTGCCTCTAGTTGAACCATTAAAAGCTGTATCAGTCCGTACGCCACGTCCGCGCCCACTTCGCTTAGTTTTTGGTAATGCTTCATTCACTGGATTGACTGGGTTTTTTCCTACATAATTTTGCTTAGAAGATTTACCTTCATTTAATGAAGAACTTATGTCGTCGTCGGTGGAAACGTCTTCAACCATATCCGCTAGTGTTGTCGCCTCGTCCTGGTCAGAATCAAATCCAAAATCATCTTTCGTTTGTAGTATAAGTTGACAGCTCGGCACAGACTTTTTATTGGTTGCTTGTTTTGTTTGCAATGTTGCTTTACCACTGACTTTGTTCACTCGGACTTTTTCTGGGGTTAGATTACTGTGTTTTGGTATCTGGAATCAGAAGTGTAGGTAGGATACTAGTTTTATGTATTAGGAAAAGCAAATTAACTGAACATTAGTGTAGTAATTATACTTAGTGATAGTATAATATTAGTGTTTATTTAATCCATAGGAAATTTCAGATTGAATCGGATCATATTTTACTAATTTTCGTTCGTTTATAGTGTTTTACAAAGCAACACGAGTCGTGTTACCTAGGTTACTTTACTATCTAATAATTAATTAATTACATTCCCATCAGAATAAAAATATGACATTCAGCGAAAGTATTTCTTTTCAGTGAACTTATTATCAACTTGTAAAACAGTGAATAAGTATTGTGGCGTAATAACGGGATTACTAGGTTAGCGTAAATGATAAGGCTACAATTTTGTGTAACTTCCTTTTATCTTCATCAAAACGCTATTATGTATTTAGCTGATACGTCTGACACTTTAAAAACAAGCGTTTTCTACTTGTAGCCAGTTACAAAGTACTGACGCAAGTAATAAGTGCACGAATAAAGTATATATTTTTGTTCAAACCTACACTTTTGTGTTTTAATGAAGATCTGATCGAAAAACAGATCCATAAATCTGTTAAGTTTTCTTGCTCGCAAAAGATGCCTCATATTCCTGAAAATCTTAAAATTATGGAAGAACATTTTTATTGCCTCTTTTCAGATGTTAGTGTTAAGTTCGTTTGCATTCTCTTCACCAGCCTGATTTCGACCCTGGATGCGGTCTCTATAGACCAAATGTTCACATTCCGGCAGGTTCTGCAACATAGATATGCTTTTCGACGACCGACAGTAGTTTTGATCCTTGAAATTAGGGCGGCGCTCGACTTAGTTGACTGTGAGGTTCTGTAGCAGTCTGTCATTGAAATGCGTGCCGAAGAGGTGCATTAACCTTGTGCGGGACCTTTACTCAAACACTAATGCTCAAATCAGGGCTTATAGCGAACTGCCATCAGATATGGTTACTTCGAATGATGTTCGTCAGTGTTGTCTTACTTAACATCCCCGTATACATGCTTTAAGAGATAGTACCGTTTTCGTCGGACTTAAATTCCTATTATTCCTCGTCCGACTTCAGGGATTATTCTATCAGGAGATCCATTTGTTGAATTAGAATACGCAGATAATATGTTTTCTGTTTAGTGAAGATGCTGACAGAATGTAGTCTTCTGATCCAAGCATGTTTGGGATGCGATTCTCTCCCTTCAAAAGCGAAATTCTGCTTCAGGATTGGTTTGTGTTGGGGTCGGAATTAATGATAGGGAGTGAAGTATTTCAACGTACCGGCCATCTCACTTGAGAGTATCATCAGTTCTCATGGCCTGGTGTCTGGCGAAATTTCAGTAGATTCAGAAAGCCCGATTGGCTTTTACCAAATTGTGGCGCAGGTGAGATATTCGTTTGCCAACCAAAGGACGAGTTTATGGATGTGAAACATGAAGACTAATAATAAAGGATATTCGTAGGCTATTATTATTCGATCATAGGCATCTTCGAATTAATGCTCGTGTACTTTTTGACCACCTGGGAACAATCCATGGATTAGGAAGTCATAAGTAAGGATGGAAAGTCGATTGATGAGCTAGTAAATCTCCATCAACTGCGGTGGTTGAGACAGGAGTTACATATGCCTAACACCGCGTAGCTTGACGGGTGAAGTGGAATGGAAAGCGTTAGGGGCGGTTAAACCAAAAAATAACAACAGTTCATGAATTACGACTGCTCAAAAGTCAGAGAGAACATAAATATTTCACCGTATATGAAATGTATTATCTGTGTAGGATATTGATTTTAACTTACAAGCAATATCTTTTGCCAGTGTAATATATATATATATATTTATATAAGGATATAAAACTATAATAAACATAATAGAAGGATTAAACCAGTCTTTACGAGGTGCAGACAATGAAACTAAGCCACTGGGAACAGACATTACCTAGTTTCCCACTCAAATTGTCTCTTGTTAATCTGAAAATCATTTTCCCCGTTTAAAATCTTCAGTTCATGTTCAATAATAATTTGCACATTTTTAAAAATAGCTTTCACAAAGATGGTTATAAAGAACAATAAAAACCAAATCACGTTTATGTATTAAGAATACCTACAACTCGAAGATGTGACAAATTAACCTGTTTTGTACTTCTAAACCACTTTGTTCTTTAGTGTGACGGCCTACTTAATGACAATAAGTAGTTTGAGTATATTCAACCATTTCTAGAGCCTAGATTTTTGTAGAATGACACTTCACCACCACAACGATGATTTTTGTTGTAGGAGTAGGCTGAAACATACCTTTTTTCTCGGATTTTATTGTTTATGCCCAATCTTCTCTTCTACTATTGATGCTTTTACTACTTCTAATACTCTTGGATTTGTCTTGGTAGTTTCATGCCGCTAGGCTGGTGTTCTGCGTCAACCCGACGCAATGTACATGTCCCAGGGTTCATGCTTCTTACGACTGAGTGACCTAGTCTTTACTAACTAACTGAGTGTCGACTAGTCTATTACAAAACACTAGTACCTAAAAAATCAATATACTTTACAGATTGGTCCGTTAACTTCATCATGACCACTAAGTTGCATTCACTAGCAATCAAATTGGTTGGGAAACGACCATTACATGATTGGAAACTAATTCTATTTCATAAGTGTAAAAACGTTTAAATCAAGGTATAACAGTGACTTTATAATTATAAAGCCGTATATATGAATTCACTGACAACACAATCACTAACAAAACTGCTTTTAAGCACTTCAAATTTAATTTAACATACGATTGTTTTGTAGCTTGAACTAGTGACGAACCTGTGATTTGCGGATTGATAGGCTTCAATAAGCATTTAACACCTAAGAATAAACTGCTGTGTAATTACCATTTTGTGAAGTTATCGATGCGAATTGTTTGAGAAAAAACTGAAGTTTTAGATGAATTTTATGAGATTTCCCTTTTATTTTTGCTACTCCCTACATGTTATATTATTCCCACTGAGCTTCTCATGCCTCAATATCCAAAATCAGCAACATATAAAAGTGAGTCACGTAACTTACTTGTTCAGCTTCATCTTCCTCGAGACTCCACTCTAATTCCTGTAATCCCGTTGATTTAGTATTTGCTAAAGTTTCGACTTTTGGATTACTGGATGGCTTTATAGGGCTATACTTATCTGAAATATATATTTTGAAAAACACCAATATATGTTTGAATTTAGATGGCCTACATACAGAAATGACCAATAACATACGATCACAAACTAAAAAGGCATTGCAAAACTTTCACCGATAGCCATTGGTTTTTTCTTTAAACATAATCGAAATACGCTTTGACATTACAGCTTCCCAAAATTTCAATGTCTTAACTACTCAGTATTAGGAATGCTAGATCCTTGGGAATCACTATATTGACTTATTGTTTTTGCAATTTAATTGTGGAAATTTGAATTTTTCACTTTCGTACCAAAAGCGCCTACTACTTTCAGTTTGTTTCTCACCTGGTAGAACTTTAAATATCACTAGACCATTCTCTTTTTTAGTATGCTACTTTGTGACGCTCTTCAGAGACATAACTCATATGAGCTAAGTGCTAGTGATCTGTTCTTCCGACTTTTTTGTGGAATTATATATTTTCCCTGCTAACTCTGGTCTTTTTCCTCGAGTTAGCAGGGCTGGGGTGCAGATGAATGGCTTAGCTTCGTCCTGTTATTACATTGTTGGTTGACGTTCCGTCCACGACTACCAGGTTGATATCCCAATATCTCGAATATAGCACTCAAAAACGAAGAATGCCTCTAACAAGACACAGACGCAATCCGAAGAATCTGTGTTTCAATATGTTTTATTTTGATTGCCAGACTGGCTAAATATCAATGGAATCATTTATACATAGATTAATTGTCGATGAGATAAGGCGTGATAAGGAACTTTCAAGGGCTTGATATTGTAGTTAGTTGATAACCGAAAAACTAAACGACGTAGAGACAATATACTACCCAATCATAAAAAAGATCAATTAATTACATAGACAGAAACTAGTTAACTAAAACAAACGATGAACGTGAATATATCAAATCATTTAAACAGAATCAATCATATTCAGTCATACAAATATGTATTTAAAATTTGTAATGGAGTTCCAAAAGCCCACTTCAAATTAGCGATTATACTATCTAGAATGATGAAAGCTTTGGAATTGAAAGATATAGCTCAGGAGACGCAATCACATGACGAATACGTTTTCTACTCATTTAAGAATTGAAACAACCTTGTATTGAAATATACCTGACCTCAATATACTGTATAA